AAAAAAAAAAAAAAAGAATTTTCTCAGGTGAAGTGCTGTGGTTTGGGGGCTGGCCTGTCAAAGCCAACTTTCTGCCTGTACCTTGCCTATGTGGCTTAGGATCCAGAACAGAGAAATGTGGTTTGGTGACCTGGAACTGCAGTGACATATGGTGACAAGAGAGATTGGCAAGGGAACTCTATGTCCCCCCTTTTCTAGTATGCACAGCTGCCAGTGCTTGCAGGAAACAAATGCTGATTTCTTCCCTTCCAGCTAGCTGTAGTTCTGGGGCGAAGTATACCCCTCTAGGGCTCTCTGCAGTACTCCACAGCTGAGCCAGCAGCTCTGCCCAGAAGCCAGCTCGTCTCCTTTGTCTTCAAAAGCCTGATTGATGCACCCCAGTGACAGAGATGGGGGCAGTCGTGGTAAATCTACCCTCCTGAAAGCTGTGGTGGATTGATGCCAGAATTATGTCACTAAAACCCCATGTCAAGGTGGGAGAGTGATTCAGAACACCCAGAAGTGTGCAGGGGACCCCACATAGCAGATTCTAGGAAGGAACTGCCTCTCAGTTATGATGAGCCTCTCACGTGTTTTGGCTGCTGCTGTCAGTGCACTGTTCACTTTGATTTAGCCTCAATTAAAAGCAGGTTATTTTGCCTTAGAGACTATCAAATTATTATGCCATAAAGCATTTTCACGACCCAGTGAAGGCAGAGATGGAAACTTTCCCCAAAAGCAAAGTAGCAGAGGTGACATTCTGCTGATGCTTAGTGGTAAACAAAGTAAGAGGAAAGGTTGGCCTTTTTCCTTTCTGGAAATGTTTTCACTGCTGTGCAGCAAAGTACCATCTTCTCATAGACTTCTGGAAGTAGTTTGTCAAAAAGATGGCATAACTCGGGGATACCATCAGAGATGTAGGCTAAGGGTGAGACAGTATATAGAGCCTGTGTGCTGCCCACACGAAATGGGGAGCATGGGATATTGAGAGTGGGTGGGAAAATAAAAGTGGAAATTATTCTCCTTAGAATTTCCCAGTTTGGAATTACAAGTACCTATTCTCCCAAATGTCTTAGGTTGCCCTCGAAGCAAAACTTGGGGATTTGAGTACAGGGAATTTATTCGAGAAGTATCCTGGGAAGCAGGAATGAGATGTGGGAAGAGAAAGACAAGGAAGGAGGAAAAGCCAATACAAGAAACCGGGAGTGGTGGCGCATGCCTATAATCCCAGCTACTCAGGTAACTGAGGCAGGGAGATCAAAAGTTCAAGCCTAGTCTGGGCAATTTAGACTCCTGTCTTCAAAAAATAATAAGAGCTAGTGATATAGAGCTCAGTGGGAGAACACCCCTGGGTTCAACCCCCAGCACTGGGAGAAAAAAAATAGATTTTTGTTATTTGGTTGATTGGCTTTTTGAGACGGTCTCACCATGTGGTCCAGGCTGTCCTTGAACTCACTATATAAGCCTAGGCTGGCCTCAAACTCTGATCCTTTTGTCTTAGGCTCCCAAGTGCTGGGATTACAGGCATGTACCACCACAACCAGTTCTAAAAAGGTTTTGGGTTTTGGGGGGGGGGGGGTGTATGTGTGTTTTGAGGGTGATTTTTCTAGTCTCCAAGCTGGGCTTGAATTTGCAATCCCTCCTGCCTCAGCCTCCCAGAGGGTTGGGATTATAGGCATGTGCCATAATGCCCAATTTAAAAAGTATACTTTCAAGGCCATGAGGGCGTAGTTCTGCCAGAACTTCTGAAAACCATTCAAACTCCCAGAATTGCCTGTGTGTGGACAGGGCCTGGGCCAGTTAGCCACCAGCCCTATAGAAATAGCCCTAATGGCATGAACACCATTTCTCCAAACAGTGCTTGTAGCCTGCATGCAGTCAGAGGAAACCCTGCCACCAGAAAACGTCTGTCTCCAGTTTTGTACTTTTGGTGGCTTGTTATTAACAATGAGTCTGAGCTTTCTTAGAACTGTCCAGGGCAGCTGCAGCTGAATGAGAGTCCCTAAACATCCACTGCAGAACCATCGGTGCCATCATAGGAAAAGAACCAGGTACAATGGCAACAACACTGGGGTACCTAGTCCTGAGATCAGAGAGAACTCAGGACGGCGTTCTGGAGGAACTGTTTTCTAAGCTGAGATAAGACTGGATGAATAAAAAGCAGGCAGAGGTGAACAGCAGGTTCAGAGCTGTGTGGAGCACAAATGATAAAGGTAGATCTGGCAAGTGACAGGAAGAACTTCTTAAGTTAAGGACTTTAGGCATTATTGTAAGAGCAAAGAGCAGTGAGGGGTCGTGGAAGAGACATTTAAGCAGAAATTTGCTCTAAAGATAGCATGTCAGTAGATGCCAGGGTTTGGATGCTTAGAGAAGGGCTAAGTCAGGGAGACCAGTGTGTAGAGGCTGTTGAATTACCCAGGTGAAGGATAGGATAATGAGAACCAGATCAGTAGTAATGAGAAAGGTGGAAAGTGAAAGATTTGATGCATATTAAATTTCTATGTCCCCACTCATGCTTTGCTCATGATCTCATTATAAAATGTGTGTGTGTGTGTGTGTGTGTGTGTGTGTGTGTGTGTGTGTGTGTGTATACTGGTAGATTGTTGTAGGGAATGGTTTATATAGAAAGGAATGTCTGGGGCCGGGGATTTAGCTCAGTGGTTTCGCCGCCTGCCTTGCAAGCGCAAGGACCCGAGTTCGATCTCCGGTACCAAAAAAAAAAAGAAAGGATTATCTAGAAAATGAGAATTGAAAGATCAGAAAGAGAAATTTGGAGTCATGCTGTCAAGATCTCTCAACCAACTTCTCATCTGGAAGTGTACCTCACTGAGAGTCCAGAGAGACCTCCTTTTGTCCTGCATTTTCTATTGGTTTGACCTTTGTTATATTGTTTAGCCTTCCTGAACTTTTGTTTATTTGTCTAACTCAGTACAAAGATGATGGTGCCTGTCTGGCTATCTAAGTTGGTCTTCCTCTTAGTATGTAGTGGGATGTGCGACCTTGACAGGGCAGCTAACATCCTCTGGGCCAATGTTAATAGATGAAAATGTTTAGGGCAGTCGTTTGGCCTCTAGAGTCATGTGTTTAGAATTGACATTGGCCTGTTGGCTCACTGCAGGGCACAGGTTGGGTTTCAGAATGGATTAAGGTGACACTAATGACTAGGTCATCTAGAAGGTGCTCCCCTTCCAACTCAGAGCTTGTGACCATAGTGAGTCTGGTGAGACATGGCTATGAAAGCACCCAGAGAACCAGCATTGGGATGTTAGCTCATAGTTTTTAAATATTTTAACTTTGCATATTTCCATGAGGCAGAAAATAACTTCCAGTTTCCTATAAGCTGATAGATAACTTGTTTTACTTTCATAAAAAGACCAAAAGCCATGTTCCTTCCATAGTTTCTTCCACTCATACTACTTTCTTAGAACTAGCAGCCTTCCGTTTTTCTTACTTTATCTCATACATGTAACATTGACTAGAAACATTTGACCTGCCAAGACTTGAGTTTGGGCATATGGGGTTTTTCCCGCAGCCCATGATAGCATCACCAGCAAGTAAAGCACAGGCTGTACATTCCCTGCTTTCAGTGCGAGGAATGTTCTCTACCTCCCAGGAAAAAACAGGCTCCAGCTCACAGGAGTTGAAAGGCAACTGATTTTTGAGCCCTTCTATGGTACCTTGACTTCTTGCTCATCAGTGCTGGGAACTGGTTCTTACTCTGAAAAGAACTCCCTGGAGCTTCAGAGCATGATGACAGTGACTCAGAGTGGCCAGCACTTACAGCACCTTGACCTTATGCCGAGTGTTGTTTTAGCCCTTTGCATAGAAGATAGGCCTCAGCTTTTGAGCAAACATTTCACTTTGTGGACTGGATTGGGAGACCAAGGTGCATGCACTTAAATAGCCTCCAGTCTCTCAGGCAGAACTGGAATTTGGACCTGGTCATGTGATTCCAAAACCTTGCCTGAGCTCTCCATTCTCCTTCCTCCCTGCAAGCTCTCCACTGTCCTTCCTACCTGCCACACAGAACTCAGAGGTCTGAAGGGGATGGTGTTTCCTGTCTGCAGTACAGCAGAGCAGAGACATCAGGCAGGAAAAGTAAATTAAAATTCTGTGCTAATGTCCAGGCACAGTGGTGCATACCTGTAATCCCAGCTACTTAGGAGGCTAAGTCAGGAGGATTGCAAGTTTGAGGCCAGCCTGAGCAACTTAGTGAGATCCTATCTCAAAATTTTTAAAAAGGGGGCCAGGGATTTAGCTCAGTGGTTCCACTGCCTGCCTCACAAGCAGAAGGTCCCGAGTTCGATCCCTGTTACCAAAAAATAATGATAATAATAAATTTTTTAAAAGGGGGGAAAAGGAGCTGGGATATAGCTCAGTGGCCAGGAACTTGCCTAGCATCCCCAAGGGCCCAGGTACGATCCCCAGGACCAGAAAAAAAAAGAAAAAATTCTGCTCTGCTTACAGTGTTCTCCACACTGAGAAAGAAACATGCTATGTGTGACTTCCATTAAGGTAAATGGCTTCTATCCAGGGAATCCTGTGCCCATCAGAAAAACTGTTATTCAAGAGACCAGAGTTTTTCATATTTCATGTTTTCTCCTTCCTTAGGGTAAAAAGGTCAAGTGGCATGAGCAGTCTTTTGGGGAAAATTGGAGCCAAGAAGCAGAAAATGAGCACCCTTGAGAAGTCCAAATTGGACTGGGAGAGCTTCAAGGAGGAAGAGGGGATTGGTGAAGAACTTGCTATCCATAATCGAGGGAAAGAGGGGTAAGAAATAGTAGATTCTATTCCACTGACCACCTCAGAACTCTGAAATGATTGATTGCAAACAAATTGCCCAGTTTAAGCAAGCAAGAAGTTTTCCTGGTGAAACAAAAAATGTGAATACATACTTTGGTTTGTGAGTGAAGCTCTGTCTTCACATGGAGCAGATCCTATCATTGAGAAAGCCACTAGGGGTAAAGGGCAGGAGGGCATGTGAGCAGAACTGCTTTAAGCCAGCCATACTTGCCATGCTGAATTCCTATAAACTCTTAAGTCATCTGCTTTATTTATGTGATCAAATGTGGCTTACAGTGGCAGCACTAGCCTAATAGGAATTACTTGGTCTTCTGAAAAGCCAAAATAGTTCAAATGCTCCAAAGGCAGAGCCAACAGAGTGCCTAGATGTCACATTTTTCATATAGTTTGAGAAAGGCCCAAGATGAAGCTATTCACCCTTGGCTTTTCACCCCTTCCTCTTCACTTTGGAATACAAAGAGAGTGTATTCAGTTGTGACCAAGATCCATTCCTTTTTTGTGGTGAGTGAATTTGGTTTTTTTTGGTATCGGTTATCGAATTCAGGACCTTGTGCTGAGAGAGAGAGAAAGAGAGAGAGAGAGAGAGAGATTACTGCAGAAAGAAGTCCATGGTTTCCGGTTGATGTTCCCTGCCCCTAACAATGAAGGAAACTGTTGAATGACCCCTCATGCACCCCAGGGTGCCTATCAGCCCTGCCACTCACCAGCACAATAGGCATATCTTCAGCTCAGCGCCTTCGCCAGTAAAAGTGGATATGGTATCACCTTCACCACGTGGTTATGAGGCACTCATGAAGAACATATGTAATACATGTATTACTCACATATATGTAATCTACATGAAGCACTTCAGAGCACCTGTCACATAAAAGCCTGCATTAAATACAAATATTCGGGATATTAATAACCCAAGTTATAATAAAGACAAATGGGGGATTTATTTGGGGAATCTTATTTCTGAATTAGGCTTCGTCATTATTTGAATGACCCTCGAAGCCAGCTCATATATTTTAAAATAAAAAATGGCTAGGGCCAGGGATTTAGCTCAGTGGTTCTGGCCCCTGCCTCAAAACTGCAATGTCCCAAGTTTGATCCCCAGTACCACAAAAAAATAATAAATAAATAAATAAATAGCTTTATGAGCTGGCATAGCTGCCAGATCCAGGTCAGGCTGCCTAAGTTGGGAGACAGAGGCAGAAGAGCCATGGCCACCTGGGGATGACCAGGGGGAAGCAGAGGTAGGAGGTGGGGTTATCTCAAGCATGGGCAGCTCTGACATTTGCTCCAAACCTCTCCACTCTTTGATTCAGCTCCAGTAACTCACAGCCCCAGCCTGTTCTCTTTTGCACGGGTATCTAAAGCTGCAGAGGAATTGCCAATATGTGCTATACTTTATGGCTTCTCTTGAGTACTGATTATACAAGTTGGACAATGTTCACTCTGCTCAAGTTTATAATAGAGATCTTATAAAAGTAAGGAGTGATGCTGTTGAAGATAAGAGAGAGTTAATAAAATGTGGACTGGAGGAGAAAAGATTAAAAAGGACATTTGCCTGGTGAGGACTTTTCAGGTGGTAGAAAACCACATAACTGGATTAGGAAACAACTAATATCATGCCATTTTTATGCCATGCCTTTCCCTCTAGTATCTGAGGCTCTCCCCATACCCTCCTGATTCTGCAGATCTGATCACATTTTTCCAGTGCAGATCTAGTAATTTCTGTGCTCTGCCTCAGCTCTTCTCACCTTACCTTTCTCAGTGCACACCTCCATCCACTGCTTTTTCATCTCCTGCAGTCAGATTAAAGGAGCCCAACCCCTGCTCTGGTTCTCACCTTGCTAGGCATGCAGATCCTCTGAGAAAATGTCCCAGAGTTCAGATAACAAGGCCACTCCTATGCAGAGCTGCTGAATCGAGAGTCTGGAATAGGTAGGTCACAGATACCTATGTCTTTCAGTCATTCCTGAGATGATTGTGATGCACAGCGGGGTATAAGAATCACTAGACCACAGAATCAAAATAATACAGGCAAGGGGCCAGGGATGTGGCTCAGTGGTACCATGCCTTCCTGGCAAGCACAAGGTCCTGAGTTCAATTCGCAGTACTGCAAAATAAATAAATAAATAATAATAATAATACAGCCAAAAGGTCCGAGTTTTAACTCAGTGGCACTGAGCCTCCCTTGAAAGTACAAGGTCCTGAGTTTGATCCCTGGTACTGGGGGGAAAAAAACCAGGCAATTGCTAGACAGCCGGTTGCAGGGTGAGCCCTTCCCAGCACACACAACTTGGGAGCCAACCTCAAAGTAAGTGGTGGAAAGATGTGTGCCTGTGCCAGTGTCGGAAAGAAGCTACAGGCGTTATTTGATTATTGTACATATGAATATATAATTTCCAAAGTAATGGAGGAAAAAATGGATTTTTTTTAATTAACCAGAAGAAAACATAATGGGAGAGTTAAACAGGACAAAGGCTGGGGATGTAGCTTAGTGATAGAGCACTTGCCTGTCATGCACAAGGCCATGGGCTCATCCCCAACACCAAAAAGAAAGAAACAGAATAAGCAGTGATACAGAGGAAAATATAACTGTCAACTTGATAAATGTCAAATACGCCAAGTTTGTGTCCCCTAAAATCGAAGAATGATTTCCAAAGGACGTTAAGAGTAGGAAAGGTTTATTGGGAAATAGGAATAGCTACCTGAGAGACAGGAGGGAACCCAAAAGTGGGTTGTCACCAAGGCTTTTTTTCAGAGGTAATTTTTTTTTTTTGGTACTGGGGATCAAACTCGCATCCTTGCACTTTCAAGGTAGGCGGTGGAACCACTGAGCTAAATCCCCGGCCCTTTCAGGGGTAATTTATATAGCACAGTCACAACGTGGGTCAAATTACAATCAACCTGTAGAATTCTAAGTATAGCTGCTTAGCTAATATTGATCCAGCAGGGAAGCAGGTCTCATAGCAAGGGTACATAGAAAGAACAAAGGCATTTGGGAAGGGATGGGTCTGGATGCTCTGGTCACCCACCTGGGTTGATTGATGTCTATGACTTTACTGCACCAGGTGATAGCAAGTATAGTATAATTCCAAGTTACTGCTTATCCCTTAGGGAGGCACATAGACCTGGCCATTGTATCTTTATCTTGAGGCCTGACCTTCAGATGCGCCTCTAGTCACAATTCAGACGTTCCTGTTCTTTCCATTGACTTCCTTAAGAGCCCAGTCCCTCTCTACTCTATATTAATTTCTGTCTAACTTAGCTGCCTGTAATAGGAGGACAAAGAGGAATCACACAATAAGATGGTAGAGTCAAGACTAAATTTATTAGTTTTTTCATTAAATGTAAGTAAACTAAATGCTCCAGTTAAAAAAGATTGCCAGATTGAATTTAGAAACCCAAAAACTATTTGCTGTTTTTATTAGAGATGTATTTATAATATGTGATGCAGGAATGTTGAAAATGAAAAGATAAATGCAACTGCTAACCCAAAGAAAGCTAATATAGCCATATTAATATTAGACAAAATAAACTTTCAGGAAAAAACATTACCAAGTCTCTTAAAATAAATACATCCAGTTTATCTGGGTGATACAACTATTTAATTTAGAAAACACTATTTAACGTTATCTACTGAAACTCCATATAGTCACTCCCTGTAATACAGCAGTTCCAATTCTGACTTTATTCCCAACAGAAATTTAGTTATATATTTCCAAGAGACACATGTAATAATATATATAAATTTTTGAGAAACAGCTCAAAGATCCATCAATGGTATAATAGTTAAATAAGGAGTGATCTGTTCATACAATGGGATTCTATTCGGCAATGGTAATGAACATGAATAACGTACAATAACATAAAAACACAAAGAAGTAGATGCTGTGTGATTCCATTTATACAAAGGTCAAAAAAGGCAAAGCCAGTGTATTCGTTATATACATTTGTGAAAGAAGCAAGTCATAAAACAATATACAGTGTATAATTGTATTATGTCAAATTAAAAAATAAATGCAACTAAACTTTAATGTTGAAGAAACAAAAACATGAAAGGAAACAAGGAAATGAAGACCCAAGTCCTGCACAAGCTCACATCTGAGTGGGCTGCAGGAATTGGGGTACAAGTTACATAGGGGCCGCCTCAAGGTTGGAAGCCATCTACTTCATGACCCAGTGATGACCACATGATCACTTGCTTTGTAATGATTCATTTGTCTTGCCCATCTTATGCATTGTTTTATGTGTGTGTCATATTTTACAATAGAATTCAAATCTTGGCCATGCCACCAACACAGTTTCTTCATCTGTAGAGTGAAAACTCTTTAATATACTTCTCAGGGTTGTTGTGGGAGTTAAATAAGTGGGGGGAATGCCTGGTATGTTTATAAATGGGAGTTCCCTTCCTGCCACCCCCAGTTCTCTGCTCGAATTTCCTTCTCCCACCTGCTACTGCTGGTCACACCAAGGCAGGCCTTACTGGAAAGCTAAATGCTTTACATCTTTAATTTCCTGCCAGCTCTTCAGGAATATTTTGCACACTAGTGGAAAGTAGAGCTTGGGGACATCTCCTTCTAGTCTTCCTAGATAGGTTTTCTTCCCTTACTGGGTCTTTCACCTTGGGAAGCTGGGACCTAGGCAGCTGTCTCTTCCCCAGGAATGCTCAGTAGTTCTAAGACTTAGCTACCATTTTCTTCTGGCTCACAAAAGAAAGTACTCCCAGACTTAGGTTTCAGCTGGTTCTTTGATATCTCTATTTGGATGTCTCTATTTGGATATCTCTATTAAGACACAGAACCAAATAGTAGATCTCTCTTTGTAAATGGACTTCCTTTGACTTCTTGGCCCTCTTGCTGTCCCCCACTGTTAGAAGAAAGAAAAACTTAGGGATCGCCCTTGATTTTCTCTCTTTCCACTCATATCCTGCACCTCCAATTGCTGCTTTTGTCACAAAATATTTTTAGCCCATC